TGTTATCTGAGTAATTATTTCTGATTTCATTTTTCCCAGATCCTCTTTTGTTGCCAGTTCAGAGAGTCCAGGTGGCTGAGTATCAGATTGTTCCATCTCGTTTCCCTTTGGGGTTGCTGTAGGTGATCCAGAAGTCGGTTTTTGAGACTTGTTTACGTGTCTTCTCATTTCCACGGGAGGGGGTGCTTCTGGCGCCTACGTGGTTCACCTTCTCTGCCCTACAAGCTTGGGATGGCGGTGGGGGAGCTTCCTTCCGGGTGCTGGGACCAGCTCACTTTCTCTGCCCTAGGAGCCTGGGATGGCAGTGGGGGAGCTTCCTTCCGGGTGCTGGGACCGGCTGAGCTTCTCTGCCCTAGGAGCCTGGGATCTGTAAGAGTCTTGCTAAGTCACCTAAGTTGCCCAGGCTAGGCTAAATCTTGCAGTCCTCTTGATTCAGCCTTCCCAAATGCAAGGATTATAGGCATGTGGCACTATAGACAGATATAAGATCAATATTTTTCTTTCATTTTGGGTTTCTTTTTTTTTGTCTTTTGAGATAGGGTCTCCCTATGTAGTTCTGGCTGGCCTTGAACTCACTACATAGCCCTTACTGGCCTCAAACTCACAGGTAATCCTCCTGACTCAGCCCCCAAGTGCTAGGATTATAGGCGTGCCCCACCACATCTGGCTGTTTTTGGTTTTTTGAGAAGAGATCTTGCTTTGTAGTTCAGGTTGGCCTTGAACTCACTATGTAGCCCAGGTGATCTTAAACTCATGGCACTCCTCCTGCCTCCTGAGTGCTGGGATTACATGTGTGCACCACTACACCTGGTGAGATTGGTATTTTTAAATGTAATCCAATCAGACTGCTTTTATATATATTTTGGGGTATATTTTAAAAAAAGGTTTCCTTAGATAACTGGATGGAAGCAGAAATTCAAATGTCTTTTCCTGATGTTATATATGAAAAAGTAAAAGAAGAAATGTAAAATTTAAAATTTTCCCGTGGTTATTGACCTTATTTTCTAGGTACCACAAGAGCTTATTTTAAGACTGCATGGAAATGTCCCAAAACAGGAAACAGAACAAAACAATGCTGAAAAGAAATTAGCACGAATTCATGATCTTCAAAGTGTTTGCTATTCTAACAAATGTTTGGTAAATAATTTAAACATTTGGAACATGAATCTATTATTGAAACTGTTAAAAAAAGAGAGGGAAACAGCTTGTTTAATCTGATCATGCCATCCTTGCTGAATACTTAAGCATGTCAATAAAGTCTTACCTCAAATTATAAATTCCATTTTTAATTTTTCTACCAGCCTATCAGAATTACGATAGCCATAGAGAGTATGAAATGATGCATCTTTTCCTGAAATATACCATTTTGAGAACAAAGCTTCTAACCTAGTGATTTCTATTCAGTGTCACAGTAGAATGGTTTCTTGTTCAAAAGGACTAGGCTCAAGATAAAAGGGCACAGTAGCTCAGCTTCCTGTTTTCGTAGAACTCATATTCACAACCATCTAAGGTTTTTCAGCTCTGGGTCAGTGAAGCCTGAGCACTTGGTGAAAGCAATGCCTAAGTCTGAAGACAATGGCAGCAATATCGTTCACTCACTGAAATGGCATTTAGATTAGTGCTCTCCATGACAACTTCCTGTTATGATGGCAACAGTCTGTATCTGCTGTTGAAAATGTGCCCATTAAGTACTTGAAATGACTAGTGTAACTGAAAAAATTAACTTTAAATTTTCTTTCATTTTAATGAAACAAAACATCCGTATGTAAGTAGTGGCTACTGTATTAGACAGCACAGAACCAGAGATACCAACCAGTCCATTAGCAAATTACTCTGTCCCTATACCAATGTCATTTTTTTTTTTAAAGTTACTTCATCTGGCTCTTAATGCTAAAAGGAAGCTACAAAGAAATTTCACTGCATATCACAGCCAATATGTCTGAAAGGACATAAATGTGGGAATGTTTTATACATAATACTTTAGCATTTTCTTGTTCATTTTCCTTCTTAAGAGTGATGTTCCATATGACAGTTCATCCAAAAGCAAATAACTTTCTTGGAATATAAAACAGCAGAGTACTCCCTGTTCAGATATTTTATTTATTTGCACTAAGATTCAACTGGTAAGAAACATACTGGATTACCTTAGATCTATGAAAGAACAACTACTTTCAAATTCGAGGCCATCACAATCCTCATAAATTTTACTTGCTGTTTCAGGAGAATCACAGTCCACTACCGCATAATAGTACTTCAGTCGTTTGAACTGATAATCTCTCAATTTTTCTCTAGAGGTCCTAAAAGGAGGAAAATTCATTACAAATAAATGTAATCATTTTAAGAAAAAAATACACTAAAAGCTGGCTTTCACTCCAAGCTACCTTTATTTGATCACTTTGCCTTTATAATCATCCAATACTTCAGCTTAAATTATTATTCTGACAAGATACAGATTTTTGGGATTTGGATCGAAACTTATTATTTAGAAATGGAATCTAAGAATTACATATACTTATCTGTAATTGTATTTCTTAGAAAAGTTATTTATTTTGGTTGTTTGTTGTTTTGCTATACCATAAACCTTCTCAAGTAAAACTGCTGGACCAGCTTACTATAGTAAAAAATATGTTTGGAAAGTATTAGCTCTAAAGAAATTCATAATCTTGAAAAATGTTTTCTCCATATTCATGTGTCATCAAGTCTAAACAGTTGTAAGTTTAATTTCATTTAACTACAGAATACTCTTTGAAAGTTTTCATCTGCCTCTCCTGCCACCCATCTACTTAATCACCATTTTTATTAAGTGCACGTACAGCTCCACCTAGTGGCTTAAAAACAATTTTAAATTTATTTTTTCTATACCTACTGTAATTCTTTTATTTTTCTATTTAATTCTCAAATAAGAAAAATGGTATAATTTGAAGGTTAAACAGACCTTCAGTACCATTTATAAGGAATGTAACATCTCAGAAAGAAAGCAAAACTTACTAATTCAGAGTAATGAGAGAGAACTCTAAATTAATTTATCATGAAATGTTTTGCAAAAGCTGTGATAATTATTTTCAAGAATATATAAATGTAAATATACACACAGTATGCCACTTCTGATAGACTATAATCTGTTTGAACCATAAATGATAAAAGTGTAAACTTTAGTCCAATTAAGATAACCAGGATTCTGAATTAATGACATGAATTTATGAGATTAGTTTCCACAGTGACTCAATACCAGTCCTTTTCAGGAGCATCTTCAGGAATGCTTAATAACTCCACTGGTCCTTGAACTTGCTCTTCCTTCATCCTCTCCTTTCCAAACTCTGAAGGATATATCTAAATGTACAACAAAATAAGATTGATATAATTTAAACATTTGTTTTCATACAATACCTAAACCTGTCATGGTCAGGAACTCTTTAAACAACTTCAGTCAATAAAAACAACTCCCTCCAAACTCATTATAGGAAGGTAAAGCATCCTGAAGAATTTCCTTTAAATTAAGTCATGCTGGCTACAGAGTAACAGATCTGGGGCTTGGAAACAACAATGGAGTATCTCCTCCACACATCACACCGAACAATATGGTTTAGGGAATTCAAAAGAAAAATTAAGAAAAGCAAAAGAAGAAGCTCAGCACAAGGAAGTATGAATGTAAACACAGACAACAACAGAGACTAAACAGATTACATGAATTATATTTTAAAAACTACAGAAATGCATAAAATCTAATGAACAAACCAATTTTATAATATTCAACTTACCCCTAAGTGACATTATTTATCTAATGCTTTCTTTCTTTTTTTTTGCAGTATGGGGGATCAAACTCAGGACCTTGCGCTTGCAAGGCAGGTGCAGTGCCACTGAGCTAAATCCCTGGCCCTCCAATGCTTTCTTTCTAAAGAAATTCTTCAAATAGTAAAGAACAAAACTGATGATAGTCTTAGTATATTGATTAGACAGTCTTGGTATCTAAAAGAGGATTAATTCACTGAGACTTGGTATTTTTATTTCACACTCATTCACATAGGAAGCTCTTGGTTATTCACTTCTGCTACCTTGTTGGATTTCACTGCACAACACATTTTTTTGTTTTGTTTTGTTTTGTTTTTGGTACCGGGGATCAAACTTGGGTTCTTGAGTTCCCACAGCAGGTGGCGAAACCAATGAGCTAAATCGCCAGCCCAGGACTTGGTATTTTTAATCTTAGCTACTTTGAGAGTCAAGAAATACAATTACATTAAATTAACATGGTTTGATACTGCTGAGTTTAACATATATTTGTTAACTAATATATAATTTTTTGAGTTGCATGAAATTCAATTTATCAACAAGATACGAATTTTTCTTACTAATGTTAAGTTTTACATAATTGGTTGCAGAGAAGTTTTAAATACATGTAGTAACATCTGTTCTTTCTTTGTTGTTTTATTTTTCTTTTCTAGATCTAGAAGCTATCTACCCATTTCCTAAAACATAAGAATTAACAATACACTTCTTTTTTATCCTGTCTCTGTGGTTTGATTTTTAACTTTTTCCCTTTATTCCTTTCTGCTATTTAATTTAGGCTATTATAACATGAAAATTATAAACCACGTTTCCTATCCAATAATTTGTCCATTTCTCCCAACATGTTCAAGCTTATTTTAATCTAAATTAGACGAACTTGTGTATTTATTCTGTCCAATTTTATCCCAAATGTGTTAACTCTCAAAGCATTGTAAAATGTTCAGATACTATAAGTGGTATGGTGATACCTTTTATATTGGCACGATTTTTCAAAAATGTATTAGTTATTGTTTTCTTTATTCTTAGATGACTACTATTCTCTTTTTCTAAAACTTCACCAAACTGGAATTCAGATCAAAATTACAACATAACTGTAGAACTGACATTTTAAAATATTTTTAAAAAAGAACACTAATCAGGCCAGGGATTTAGCTCCGTGGTGCCACTGCCCGCCTGCAAGCGCAAGGTCCTGAGTTCGATCGCCGTACCAGAAAAACAAAATAAAAACAAAAACAAAAAACCACTAATCATCAGGAGCTGTTTCAGGGAGTACATTAAATACAGTGAGCTTCTTTTCACTTAATCGTTACAGTCACCATTGGAAGTAACATTGTTATATCCATTTGTCAAAGAAGAAAATACATTTGAGAGATTATAATTAAAGTGCCCAGATCGCAGAACATTTACAAGAATCAACATCTGAACACAGGTCTATCATAATGCAAAGCTTGAATTCATTTTTTGGGGGTGGTACTGGGGATTGAACCCAGGGCTTTGGACATGCTAGACAAACACTCTATCTGTAAGCTACACTCCCACACTTGAGCCCTAATAAAGTGCAAATTCTTAATCATTATGCTAGCCTGAAATACAATGTATCAAAATTTGTTTTTCAAATTTATCAAGTGTTATAGTTCACTTCATATAGAACACTGGTATCTCTTAAGGTAATTCTCAAGAACTTTATGTGATTTTGCAGGTATATTAACAAGGATTTTTTTTTCCGAATTTGTTAATGCTAGTAACAGGTTATGCAATTTGTTTTTTTAGTATCTAGCTTATATTTTGTCTTTCATTGAATCTGTGTTTTTTTAGGTTTTCAGAGCAATCATAAAACCCATCAATAAAAATTTTATCTCCTTTCTAACACTATACCTGTTACATCAGTTTCATACTTAATTGCAGTGGACAATTTCCAGATTGTTTTCTTTAAAAGGAAAACTAGTTAGTTTTAAGTCATTAAAAGTCAGATTTAACTTCAGAAACATCTCCTTTAAAATGAAATCAATTCTCACCTTTACGGAAAATATAACACCTCCTTTAGGCTTAAATGAGTTGAACAGAGCCAGTAAATCTTTTGCCTTTAATCGATCCCAGTCCATGTTGCAAACTGCTAGTCGATGTGTAATCTGAGAAAGTAAAGGAATTAAATATTATAAAATCGATATCATTTTCAGTGCTTGAAAAATAAAGATTCAAAAATGTAATCCTTCTTTTTCCAAGTTCTGATGTTACCAGTACAGTAGTTATCTAAATGGTTTCAGTATGTAAAAGACAGCTTCAAATTAATCAAACAGTAAACTATAACAGATAAAGCACTTTCAGTTGGTTTTCAGTTCTTGAATTAGAAAGTGATCATAAAATGACTTTTTAACTACGTTTATTAAGCCAGCTATTCTGCCACTCGTGCATGAGTGAGGAAGTTATGTTGCCCTACAGCATTTCCCTAAGGTCCAACAGGAACAGAAATATAAACTACTAAAGTTCTAAAACATTTGAGTGACTTATCGATGTAGAATGTCCTTATTTGCTCAGGCAGACATCTTCTAACTTACATAAACATGTTAAATATAAAGAAATTTTAAACAATCATCAAGAATACTACTACTAGGGGCTAAGGATGTGGCTCAGTGGTAGAGCACTTGCTTAATAGGCATAATGTCCTGGTTTCAATTTCTAGCATTGTCCTTTCAAATAAATTAATAAAAGTAGGAAAAACTTTATTGGTACCAATATTATTTTTTGGTTTTGGCAATGCTAGGGATCAGACCCAGGACTTCTTGCATTTTGGGCAAGTACTCTACCACCAAGCAACATACACCGTTAGCCCTTTCCCAATCCTACCACCCAAAAAAGCTAACGGTACTATGTCATTAACAAGTAATCTTGAAAATGTTACCTCATTAGCCCGGGGCGCATCTTTATCTAATTCTCTCCAAGCATGCTCAAAACCAGGTTCTTCTGGAAATAAATCTGCCAAATCATCTTCATCTTCGGAACTAGTTTCTATATTTCCTTTACCCCTTGCAAGATCAGGGCCACTGTCACTTTCATCATCATCCTCACTATCTTCATCTTCACTTCCACCATCAGCTGAAGCTCTACCACCACCTGTGATTTCAACTTCAGATTCCTCATCACTTTCATCAGCATTGTCTGAATCTTCCTCCAGAACATCTTTGTCAGACACGTTAGCATCACTATCTCCTATTATGACTGGAACCACTGAAAAATGTCAAAGGAGGGAGGAATATACATACTGAAGTAAGCTGAATCTAAATTATTGTGACATTAAATCCAGAAAAGATGTAACTTCTATGATGCAGAATAAAGGAAAGTATAAACTTGGTAGTAAGTGACACGGGTATTTAATATGGGAAACGGAAGTTTTGGAAGTGTCAAAGATGAAAGTACTGGCTTCATGAGCCAGCAGGATAGATGGACAGATGAACAAGAAACACTGGAAAATAACTGTTTACAGTATTTGGTGAAGGGAGACTGAGTTCAGTTTTGAATTCAAAGTGCCTTTCAGTCGTCTCAAGAGAAAACATCAAGCTGTTGGCCATAGGATACTGATAAAAAAATGTGAGCTGAAGAAGAAAATTTGACTCATTTAAATGTAGTTGACAACAGAAGCTGTATATGGATGAGATCACCTATAGAGACAGAAATAATAATCGTGACTTTTCTGCTAATTCTTGAACTTAATTGTTAGGGTTAGCAATATACCAAGAGTACAAGATTGCTTTTGTTTAAACAGGATTTTTCTTTTTAGTCTTCACAATCCCAATTATATCGTCTATCTAATATATATATATATTAGATAGAAGATATAACACATTTTACTTCAGTTGGTGCTTGTTTCCTCTAACTTTGGAGAGTTAAGCAAATTTAAAAGTTCAAAGCTTAGACTGAAACTTAGTCCTATCCTCTTATTATATTTATTCACTGGCCCAATATTTCTTGACTAATACATACAAAGAATTGAGTTAGGTGGAAGGGAAAAAAATAATCTGTAACATGATTCAATGCCTTTGATGAATTCATAAATAAAAAGATGTTGTTTATTGATTTATGATTGAGCTCTAAAGCATCAGAGAGACGTTTCAGTTTGCAGACAGGTGTATTAATTATAAGCAAAGAGTCTCACAGATACCATTTGACTTAAGACTATTTGAACAGCTCAGCATAGTGGTGCATACCTGTAATCCCAGTGCTCAGGAGGCTGAGATAGGATTGCTGTGCATTCAAGGCTAGCCTGAAATATATAGTGAGACCCTTTCTCAAAAACAAGAAACAACAACAAAAAAGACTAATTGAACAAAAAGGCATCTTGTTAGGAGAGAAAGTAGAAAATACCTTTTATTTTAGTACAATAAAGTAGAAATAATGTGAAAAGGCCAAAAGACATAATCATAATTTCTGTACAAAGGATCAGAAAAGCCAACAGGAAAAGAAAGTTATTATGAGATAAGCAGAATTCACTTTTAAGCAATATACTTAAAAATATCACCTTGTACACCCAGCTCTACCTAGTGTGGCAATATTTTCCAAGTATCAATCATTATCGTACCATTTGCATTTTTTTCCATGTTACTGATATTTTTCAGTAAATTTTAAAAAATACTAGTTTTACTCTAAATATACCTGATGTCACAGAAGTGACATAGTAGTTATACTTTTTCCAAGATGTTGAAATAATTCATACCTATTACTACAAAAAGTTTAAGTATCACCTAAAATGTTACATTTAACAATGGTATATATAGCACATTTTGGGTTGTATCACAAACTGATGCATGGAAGATCAAAGAAATTATTTTAAATAGTTCTGACAACATCAACTACATTCAGAGTATTTATTCATTGAAATAAAATGGGATTAAAATAACTGCCTCTATTCCTAGATTATACTACTCTAGTAGTTATTTTTTTTTCCGATACTGGGAATTGAACTCAGGACCTTGTGCTTGCCAGGCAGGTGTGGCACCACTGAGCTACTTCCCCAGCCCACCTAGTAGTTATTTTAAACCTTGCTACTTATTAAATTACTTTTTAAAAAACTGCTTTATCATTTTTTCTACCTGACTATAAACATAATAAATTCTGACTGCAAAAAAAAATCTTTTAAAGAAAATATTGGTTTAATGAAGAAAATAGACTAATTTTTCATTTAGAGATAACTGGATGATTATTTTGGTACATATCTAATTTTATTTTCTATGATTTAGCAAATAATTTTTTTAAAGTAGCTGGTCTTATAATTTTTGATATTTTGTAACCTATTTTTAAAACTTCACATATCATACATGTTTGGATGTACTGCAACATATTTAATCAACACCTTAATGACTTAGGTTACAATTTTTAAGTTAAAAAATAATGCTCCAATACACTGCACATATGTCCAATCATTTACTTAAATTCCTAGAAGCGTAAATGCTGGCATAAAGATTTTCATAACGAGAAGTATCAAGCTGCACCTGCTCATATTACTTTTACTTTATAGCACTTAAAAAGTCCCTTGTACAGAGTATTTGATGGAATGACTGATGAATAAGAAAGCTATATATGGAGTCACTTAATACTAATAAATAATGCCTTTTCTAGTCTGTGGCACAAATACAAATTAAGAGTAGAAGATTTAGAAGACATGAGCTATAGTACCAGCTCTGTGTCCTTGTATATATCACTTTTGTTTTATAAAGTTACTGAGAAAATTAAGTTGGAAAAGATATGTAAAGATTCTGTAAAATCACTCCAAAGGATTCCACATGTTACACTAATCCAGTGCCTTAAGTGGAACTTCAAGAATGCTAAACCAACTTAGCTCACAAGTCAACATCAAATCAACCCTGCAGCTAATGCCAGTCCAATCTAATGCTCCAATTTCAGTAACTAGATTCCTATCCCTTTTCTCCAGATGGATCTCATGAAGTTTGCTGCCTAGTTCCATAGCAAATGAAATGGGATACCATCTCCGATTTCCTAGTCTCTCCAACCTAGAATTCTGTCCACAGCTTGATACTTTCTATCTTCCTAATGTTAACTCTCTCCACCATTTCCTAAAACCTCCCTGGGTCCTAGAAGCACAGCCAGGTTGTTTGGCTCATCTGAACTATTTTTAGTTACATAAACAAGAAACATCAACCTTCAAAATTTCCTGCTGCTAGAGGTAATACAAAATTTTAATAAACAGTTAACATATAAATACAAACTAGAGCCAAGTGTTTCTTACCTAGTTCTAAATAGTTATTCTTAGCTCTATTACTCATTTACTTCTTCAAGACCTATTATCTAATCAAATGGGATTACTAAATTCTCTTCTGAACATGCCGAGTCACAACTTGGCTCAAAAAGTTTTTTTTCCATGTAGAATGCTTTGATTAACACAGTTAACTTTTTCCAACCCCAATCAAAATACTGCTTCCCTTAGGAATCTTTCTGATTACATACATCTTCAGTGATCCCTTCTGAACTTCACATTCCTCTATTAAACACCTTTTATGGTACTCTTTTTCTATTTTGTATTACAGTTCTTTCACTTCAGATCTACTCTAACATGGTACATAGTAGCCACATGTGGCAATTCAGCACTTGAAATATGGCTCATCCAACTTGAGACTGGCATGAAAACGTAATTAATTTTTAAAATATTGATTATATATTGAAATAAATTACTTTTGAAAATTTTTTGATTTTTGAAATATTTTATTAAAATTAATGTCACTTGTTTCTTTTTCTTTTTAACACGACCACTAGAAAACTCAAAATTATGTATTTCTATTGAACCGTTCTACTTTAGATCAGGGCCACTGCAAACAGCTTAGCAGGCTGTTACTCATACAAAAGCATCTACCAAGGGTCAAGAAGGACTGAAATCAAAGCCAACCTCTACTTATTAAACCATGCACCCTACAGAGCTGTATCTGCTTAGGGGAAAAGAATCTGTTATTTCACTCAAAAGTGTCATCCCCTAAACAAACTATGAACCCTGGGAAGCTCTGTGTTCAGAAGGTATGCCTTTTTCTAATTTGCAGTTATCCTATAATCTAGTAATAGTCCTGAGTTGAAGGATCATGCCTTACTCATGTTATATCTACACATATTAGCTGAATTAATAAATATCCAACTCTACCTTCTTCAGACACACCTCTTTTCATGTGATAACATTTGCTAATTTACCTAGAGATTATAGCTCTCACAACTGCCCACAACTCAACATTAAGACTTGATTTTTTGTCTTATAACACCAAAAACAAATCACTGCCTACTTTTCACAGCTTTATATTTCTAAAGTATTTAACCATTCCCAACATTCTATGTAAATAATTACTATTTAGTTTTTCAAAAGACCAGTATAAAGATTATTATTCTAACCCCACAGTATCCCTAACCAACCTGATTGCTTTTCTCTTTCTGTCTTAGAACAACTGATCTTGGGAGGTTGCACAGTTTTAGAGGTGCTTGGGTCTGTCTTTAGTTTTCTTTTGGGAAAAGAGTCTCTATTATGTTCAATAATGCTTTTTTTTCCTTTTGTACCTTCTTGTGTAAGTTCTTTGCTGTCCTTCTTTGGACTTATTTCTGAATCTATCTTCTTAGAACTTTTCATTTCCTGAATTCTTTCGGAATCATCTAAATCATTTCCGGGATACTTCTGATTAATTTTCTTGGTTTCTTTCTTTTCCTCAATTATATTTTTTGAATCTATTTCTTTTTTTGTCTGGCGGTTTTTCTTTTTTATTTTCTGTTGATTCAGTGGTTTGCTATCTTCATCAGAGAGATCAGAATCAGAATCTGAAAGCTCATAGAAACGTTTCAAGTCCTCAGTAGTGCTGTGGTTGATAGGGCGTCCTCTTTTATCAACTGCATAGTTCAATTTGAACTTTTTGTCATGAAACATGGCTCGAAATCTCTTGTCAATTTTGACTTTTCGATCCTTTTCTGGCATTTCCCAGAATCTGGGGTCCTTTGAAACCTTCCTAAACCGCTGGTCATTCATTATTTCTTGTTTGGATGACATTTTTAAAGTCTTGCTGAAGAAAAGTTCAAAGAAACCTAATACTAAGAAATAAAACAAATGTTACAATAATGAAACATCAATATAATTAAAAATTTTTAAAAACATTAATCCACAACATACTCTAATTTTAAGGCAACCTAAGCAGAATCCCAGGGTTTTATGGAATGCAACAAATGTTTAATAACCCACTGCACTTAGAATGTCTCTATTTCTAGATGTGTTACCTGTAAGTGCTGTAAGTTAAAAGCTAATGTAATTAAGAGATTCCCAAGCCTCAGTTGGTCTCACTTGTTTCTTTATATTCTGGTCCCATTCTGTTAATCTTTACCTCCTGATACTCTCAACAGGTTTTATTTCTACATAGTGTCCTAACTAAACAGACCAAAATTAAATCAGCCTTAGTTCACAAAATTTCTTCTCTAAACGCTACTAACCCTCAAGAACCAGGTAAAGTCTCACTCCACTTAGTAAATATCACTTCTTTTTATAATTTATTCTAATAGTGTCTAAGGCCCAAACAAGCAGATCCTCCAAAAACATATTTTTGAAAAAAATATAAACGAATTAGTACTATTCCCTCATAAATAGTCTTTGATGGTTTAGCGTCTCTGGATTTGAACTGCGCAAAAGCCTGAATTTAATAACTGCCAAGAACAAAAACAGACTGATCAAGCAAGGAAGACAGCGTCGGGGTATTTAAAAAAAATAAAGGCTGACTCTAAAGCTGTTGTTCTCTTTATATTTGAAAAAAAAACACTAATCAGAAAATATCAAATGTTTCACTGGTGCATTTACAAATTTTAGATGTAATACAGCACTTAACTCTGAATAACTTTAGAACGCAGTTAGCACTCACCCAACTACCATAGTATTATAGGTAATGCAGGTAAATATTTAAAATGAAAGCACTAGAGCGGGGCCCCATCACACTGAAGAACTTGGTCCGCATTCCGACAATACACCCCACACTCAAACGCGGAGAACCTTACATTGGCTTCTGAACGATGGTCTCCTTCCTACCACCCAATCCTCACAGGGAAGCTACTGGGCTGAGGCTAGCTGAGAAGCAATCCTGAAAAGAACTAAAGAAGTCTGAACAAAGACTCCAGAAAGGGAAAGAAGGGGTGCACCCCTCACAAATCCGAAGTAGGCCGTGTCAGAGACTACTTCTGCCCGTCTGGAGCCCGACTATTCATTTCCAAGCTCGCCCTTACCGTCTCGGATCTCTCTCAGCCTCACATGGAATTCACACCCACAATCCTCCGCGTGACGCTCTGCCGCAACGGTACGCGAACAGGGCCAAATTACATCCTCTTTGCTCCTTTTTACGTACCTCTTTGTCGCTTTGTATTTGTCGTAGCGGGGCGGCGCAGGCGCAAGACACTGCGCCAATAAATGGTTCCGCGGCTGGAAATGCTGAGGACTGGTGTGGTGTGGCATCGATGGCTGAGGCCTCGCACTGCAAGAGTCCGAGCAGAGAACCTTGGTTGTCGAGAGGTTGCTTCCGGCGTCCCTCCCCTAGGCAGCAAGTCTCTTGGAGTCCTAAATATCTTCGATCGGGGTTTGAAGAGGAAACAGAAAAACTGGGCGGCCCAGCAGCCCGAGCCAACGAGATTTGACTACTTGAGGGAAGAGGTGAGACCGCGGGACAGCGGAGAGTGGCGCGGACCTTTAGGTCTGCAAGCTCAGGTCAGGCTCAGGCCGTCTCGGCCTTGTCATGTGACCTTGAGTCGCAGCCTTGAGTCCCTGGGCCTCAGCTGTTACCAAGAAAGGCTGTGCTTATAGTGTGCTGTTCATTGATTCAGTTACTCACCAAGTATTGATTGGGTTATAACTGGCCAGGGCAAAGTTAGACCGTCGTACTTACAGGCTTTCATTGTTGTAGGGAGGGCGAGACAGGCATAGACAAGGTAATTTCAGCTACAGAAGTAAGAGTTGGGAATTGAAGTCTGTAATGACTGCGATGGTCAAGGACAGCCGCTCAGACTTAAGGAATTAGGAAGGTTGTCGGGGAGTCCACTAGGCAAAAGGAATACAAACGCAAAGCTCCTGAGGCAGAAACGACCTTGTGGTGGCCTTCAGTGAAGCTCCAATGAGGAAGAGGGTGAGAAAGGAGGTTGGAAGGGTCCAGGTTATTAGGGCCTGGGTAAAGATTGGATTTTCTTCTGTGTTCCATTCAGTATGGTAACTGGTGGCCACACGTGGCTGTTGAACCTTTGAAATGTGGCTAGTCCCATTGAAACGTGTTGTAAGTATTAAATATATAACGGATTTCAGTGACTTACTCTGAAAAAGAATGTAAAATACCTCATTAATAGTTGTATTGATTACATGAAACTTTTTGATACTGAATTAAATTATATTGATGTTAAATGTTCTTGTTGCTTTTTTAAAACATAGCCCCTAGAAAACTTAAAATTATCATGTGGCATTAATTATTTTGGAACAATACTACAGTATAGGAGTGTGAGACTCTTGGATAGTTATAAGCATAGAATGATATGATCTTATTTATGTTTTAGGAAAGTTAAATTAAGACCTCCTGATTTGACTGTGCAAGGTTGAAAAACCTCTTTCTCTCTGCCTAGGTAGACTAGAGATTGAGTTTCTACTCTGAGGACACACAGTGCTGAGCTCCAGTATCAGATATTTCCTCAGGGGTGGAAGAAAATAGGAGTTGAGTATAATATGTTCTTTCACTCTAAAACAACAGACATTTACTCAGCTGCTACTTTGAGCAGAGCTCTAGATGCAAAGCCCTGGTCAGATAAGATAATTGACAAGTGTCAGTTTTCAGAAAGCTAGATGAGACAGCTGCTCAGAGGTTGATGAAGTCTATTACATAGATAGAAAGTAAACTGCCAGGAAATTTTCTGTACTCTATCTGTAAGGCACAGTGTACAGAGTAAACTGATCCTGCCAGTTACTAATTCCTCCTGAAGAGGAGGTATTTAGAAGATGTGCATTCCTTAGAATGGCATGTACATGGAAGACGTGTAATTGTTGTAGTCCCTTTTCCTCTCCAAGAAAAGCACCTGGATTACTACTTCACTGAAGACTCACTAGTATGCAGAACTAGAATAATGAGATGAAGTATATGACATTTCTTTTTATAATAAACAAAAAGTGTTGATATTAGGAATGAAGTACAAATGGCCTCTTCTAAGCAAAAACTTCTGCTCTACCTCTTCCCTTTGCCCTTCTTTCTCTAAACAGCAATACACCTATGTTCTGAACATTTATGTATTAATAGAAACTGAGATGTTTATGAGGGAATGAATAGAGTGGGGGGGGACATTAGATTCCTACATCTTTATTCTTGCCAGCTGAAGCTAGCTCAGCAAAAGGTGGTACTTAGTCTTCTGACCATTTTTACATTGGAATGGGATGAAGACTATGTTGCAGATTTGTTTTTTTCTAATTTGTAAATGTCACTGAAGTAGGTAGGTAACTAAGTAACATAAAATTTGTTAGTTTTTATTGAGTGATTACTTGTATTTTTCTGTGTAATGAATCTTAACTAATTTTTTCACTTTGTATACCACATGTTAATCTGTGAGGATAATAATGTGCTTGTTTTGTTCCTGTTTTCTTCCTTGTGAGGAATGTTAAAGCCACTATTTTAAAATATTTTAAAGAATATTTAATCTTGACTTCTTTAAATTGACTTCAATATGTTTCCTGTATATTTTATTTTTCTGTTCTAGAGTTGAAAATTGCTGATGTGAAATAGAAAAAGGTATAAAAGGAAATACTTATCATGTTGAAGCATAAGTAATCTATGGATTGTTGCGTACTGGGAAAAGTTTTCTGTTAAACCTGCTCAACATACTTATATCATTGCCTATTGTAATCTTTTAGGTTGGAAGTCAGATTGCAGACCGTGTGTATGACATAGCAAGGTAAGTGATGGTTAGCACAATAAAGTATTAAAAAAAATTTTTTGTTTTTTGAGACAAGGTCTGGCTCTAGTCCCTAGGCTAGCCTCAAACTCCTGGGGTCAAGTGATCATCTTGCCTCAGCCATCTAAGTAGCTGGGATTACCTGTGTACTCCCCCGTGTCTGGCTAATACAGTCAACTTTTGAATGAAGACTTGAGCTTTAAATGTTGATAGAGCTTGATATCTCACATAGCAGAACCCGGAGATATTTATTTACAGGATTGGCAATTTGAGTCACACTATATGTCTCTTCTTTTTATTGTCTGGGAGAGCAAGTGTTCTTTTATCGTTGTTGCCTTAAAGGGAAAAAAAGTATGGAAGCATGGTTTGTAGCTGTTTTCAAGTCTGAAACACCCATTTGATTTGGCTAAAAGCCATTAATGGAAAGATTACTCCAAAAATAGCTAAAAAGTTGACTTTACATAAATTTTTAAGATTTACTAAACCTAGGTATCTTAGCCACTTTCCTCATTGCTGGGAGAAAATATCTGACACCTGCAACTTGAAGGAGGAGAGGTTTATTTTGGCATATGTTTTAGAAGTTTCAGTCCTTGCATGGTTGGTGGCATGATAGAAGGGCCTGGTGTGAGGAAAGCTGCTCACCTCAGGGCAGCCAGGAAAGGGAGGAGCCAGGGAGGCAGATATCCTTCCATGTCACACCCCAATAACCTGCTTCTGCAGATCAGGCCCCACCTTCCAACACCAACCCAGTTGTAGTGCCCATAGTCCAATTAGGTTCCACAAGCCTTGCCTCTGAACACATGAGGCTTTTGGGGGTCAACCACATATAAATGCTAACTAACACTAGATTTAAAAATTTAACTAAAATTAACAAAAAAAATTTTTTTTTTGGTACCGGGGATTGAACTCAGGACCTTGTGCTTGCGAGACAGGTGACAGAACCACTGAGCTAAATTCCCAGGCCAATAAAAATTTTTTTATCATCTCAAGTGAAGGAGAGAGCCTACCTAAATTTGTTTTTCAATCAAGATAGATGAGTCTTTGGCCTTTTGGTCTTAAGAACTGTTAATATTAGTAAGAAGATTATAGCAATTTTATAGATTAAGGACATGGGAAAAGAACTTTTTCATCAAGTGTGGAAATCTTGATGGATTTATTGCTTTGTATATTAAACATAATAAGAGATTTATAGATTGAAGATTATGGCCATGTAGTGGGAGCTACAGTCAAATAATGGATTTATAGTAGAATTTTTCAATGATATTAGCAAATTTCTTTTTTTGTGTTCTTTTGTTTAAAAGACATCTATTGAATTAGACCAAGATGGGATGAATTTATTACATTTGTCTTTTAAAAAAAGGAAATTTGGTAAAAGCACATGTTCCTTTAGCCATATCTTAGATACATTTTTGCAACTTAAAAGAGTCTTGGAATAAATTAATTTTATAAGGTAAGAATAAGACTCATTCTTGCAAATAGTCCTCCCATTTCATTTATTTCATTATTTTGCCTTTCTTTCTTTCTTTCTTTCTTTCTTTCTTTCAACAGAGTGTCACTGTGTAGTTCAGGTTGGCCTTGAACTCATGTAGCCCAGGCTTCATGGTAATTGAACCTTGAACTCATGGCGATCCAACTGCCTCTGCCTACCGTGTGCTGAGATCTCAGACATGTGCCACCATACAAAGCTGGTTTCATTATTTTAAAGTATTTTTAAGATCCACAAAAAAACCAAACAAACCAGCAACTGTAATTATATGCCTGGATTATAGGTCATTTGTGATTTAGTAAAGGAAGCACTAGATTTTGCAAATCAGTTTGGATTTTACAAACTTTTTATGTTGTAGCACTGAGCAAAACACAAGTCTGTGGAGAGACTTGTGATTATGGCTAAAAGCATGTTTTAAAAATTAAATATTTGCAATTAAATTATTAAAAATACTGTGCATATATCCTTGCATTAATATTGTAGTATTGGTAATTTATATTGTTAAAACTGATCTTCTGTTGACTTTTAAAACATTTTTAGATGTCTTGTTTGTGGGATCTGAGACTCATTTAATGCTACTATAATCGGTAATAATAATTACCAACTAGTTTTTGTTGAACATTTGTTTTGTGCTAAATACTTTAAATATACTTCCTATACCAACTTGAGGGAGGCAGTTATCTTTTCCATTTTATACATGAGACAACTGAGATCTAACAAGGTTAATCACTTGTCTTTGGTTGGTCACAGGACTAGTAAATTGCAGGCCCAAAACTTGAACTTAGGTCTTTCTAATTCCAAAATCCATATATTTAACCTTGCCATGTTGGCTGTGTTCATTATAAAGTTGAAAGCTAGCTATTTGTCACAATGGGTTCTCTGACTATGTACTGGTGATCTGTAATTTTGACATCCATTTTTAAGAAAAATTGAACAGGGAGTCTTTTTGTTCCAGTTTTTCAGGAAGAAATGTTATTAGTAGATATAGTTTTAACTTTTTTGTCTTAAAGTATCTTTTTTTTTTGTCTTAAAGTATCTTAAACGTATAACCTATAATTAGACATCTTTACTGATTTAGTATGATGTGTATTTAGAGGAGACAACATAGTATGGAGGATAATAGTTCTGGTTCATGATTGAAACCAACTGAATCCATATAGAGATTGCTTCTTATTACTTCAGGTATTTGGGTTGACTTTCTTAGACTTAGATAACTAGAACTTCTAGTACAGTGCTTAGAACCTGATAGGCTTGTCAGTAAATGTTTCCTATTATTTAGGTTTTTTAAAAAAAGTTTAATATGCTAATATTTCATGATACTTCACATGAAGTTTTCTAAGTGTTCTGCCTTACCAAATTTGACAAAGAGGTAATTACTAAATTCCTAATAAGTATGCCAGTTCATTTCATGTTAATTTACATTTAGTCTTCCTTCATTCTTTGCCTGAATATATTGTTGGATTAAAATATTTTCATTAAATCTATTCTTTGAATCTATATCATGAAGCCACCTTGTAGAAAGGGTTCTTTATGTGGTTCTGTGAATGAATGACCAGATCAGACTTACAGATAGAGCTTGTAGGTGAGTCAGGAAAGGCAAATGATATTTGTGTTGGTGTTTGAAAGTTGCTTTCACTAATATGTTTTTACTTAAAAAAATTATTTGTTGAATTGTTTTACAAACAGAGCATAACTTCTGTGTCTGCTTTTTAGAGATTTCCCCCTTGCTTTGGATGTTGGCTGTGGAAGAGGTTACCTAGCACAATATTTGAATAAGGTATATTTATTCAGTGACTTAATTTATTTTGAGAAATAAAGGTGATTGATTGTAAGGAAAACTTTCCTAATCACTTCTGTTGAATCCTATTTAGATTTTGATTTTGATTATCAGAATTGCTAATTCATTTTATTGAGGGTCCCTACTGATAGTATTTTTTTAAAATGCATATATACTTTTCTTTGTTCTCACTTTGTTCATTTGATAATTCACAATAAAAATTAGAAGCTGGGTTGCAGTTTAGTGGTAGAACTTTTTATTTTAGAACTCTAGTATGTGTGAGGTCCTAGTTTACAAAAATTAAAATTAAAAATAAAATTGTCATTTATATAGAAAATGTGATTAAGTTAAACTGGAAAAACATTAATTTTATTAGTTGCTTAAAAGTCTTTATGTCTAAATATAAGTAATCTTTATTATTGTGAACAGCACTTTATTTTGCACTTTCTAATTCAGATCATAAAGATATTCATTTAGTCTTTTAGATTCTGTGTATATAGGACACTGTGCTGGACACAGTGATTAAGGTGGGATTTCTGTATAAAATCTACTTAGATAAAAACACACACTTGGGTCAGATTAGGGTGGGTGAGGGGGTTGTAAGGCTTCCACAACATTTTTATTGATAATAGTAAATGCCATAGATATGGACAGTCATTAAAGTGCAGTAGGAATTAGAGGAAGAAAAAAATCAGTAGGGGTTCATATGGTCTAGGCTTCTTAAAGGTACAAACTCTGACCTTAAAATTTTAGAGAATCTGAACTGATGGTTCATTTCATTGGAAGCATGGCAGAAGGAAAGGTAAGAATGCTGTGTGATATATGGGATGTGATATAGTGATGTTTAAGGAAAATTACTCTGGAAATGGCATGCAGGAAGGATTTAAAAAGAATTGAGAATCTGACCAATTAGGAGGTTGTGTTAAAGTTGGTGCAGGCATGGGAGATAAAGCTCTACTGCTCTTTTGAAGGCAGCAGATACAAAAGACGTAATTTATGAGAGAGACCTAGTAGAACTCACAAAACTCCATGACTGATTGGATCAGTAAATCTTATTTGGATTTCAGAATACATCTGTGACTCTACCTTCACCACTACCAAATTGGTCCTAGCTACTATTGCCTTATGTCTAGATTGCTGCAGTAGTTTCCTTCTTGGTCTCTCTTCTACTATCTTTGCCCCTGACAGTATTCTCATAGCACTGTAATTCTTTTAAATCATAAGTCAAATCATTCTTATTCATCTGTTCAAAACTATTGATTTCTCATCTAATTTAGTTATAAACTAGTCTTAGTCTGTAAGATCCCTCAGTGATCTGGTTCTTTTTCATGGCCCTGACCTTACCTTTTTCCTGTCACTCTCCACTTTATAGCAACCCTAACCTCCTTATTGTCTTTCACACAGGCCATCCCTTCCAGTACTTATTCCCAAAATATCTTTTTGGCTTACCTCCCTCTGTCAGATCTTTGCTGAAATGACCTCTTATCAGAAATCTCGTCTTTGTCTGGTTTCTAAAATTGTGCCCCCATTTTTTCCTGCCTAGTTGCTTTATTTGTTTAGTCCTCAATATATTTTTGTTTGATATCTACCTTCTCTTACTGGACTTGGTCATTTTTGTTCATTGTTAAATTCCTAGAACACAAAATGAAGATTTATTAATTAATATGTGACTAAATGCAAGATAACTTTAAAGTTATGACTTCAGTGACTGGGAAAAATTGGGATATAGTAGGGCAAGGAACACGGGATGATTTCTGTTTTAGATAAGTTACATGGATGTTATGTAGCTCCCTTCATTCTTTTTTCTTCCTGTTGACTCTTGCTAGTTTTCATTGGTATGTGTGGCTCTAATATAAATACACTACACTTAGTGGCATGCTAAAACTAGCTCAGATCAGCTCATGAGAACTGAATGTTAATCTCTTCCCCAATTCCATGTTCAGTGACATTGTGTTGATAGAGTGAAATCAGCCATGGTGGAAGTACTTGTACCATGGAAATGGGAAATGGTACAAAGCAGTCCCCTGCGAAGAGTCAGTTATTATATGTACGTCAGCACACCAGTATTTCAACTCTGAAGCCTACATATTCTCAGAGACCTCTGCCCCTCTCTTTGAATCTTTTCATTTAGATTTTCAAGTGGGAGACAGATAATCTGATCAGCCTAATTCTTTATCCCTCAGGATGGTGTGCTGTAGTTGGCTTGTGAAAGCCAACAGTGCCTATCTCTAGCTCTACACCTAGCAACATCATATTGGTAGCCTGGCATCCACCATTGTTGAGTAGTGTACCATGGAAGTTGGCAAACAGTACCTGTTTGTTTGTTTTGTTTTGTTTGTTTGTTTGTAGAGTTTGTCCTTAAACATTTATATGCTGTTAACCTTAGGTAGTCAGCAGTGACTGGATAGTGGTAGGACTCTGTGGTGTGGGAAACCCTTGCTAAGTTGTGGGCAGGGAAGACTAGATAGGAATGAATTGAATAGGATTGGCTTTTCTAATAGAGAAGAGGAAGAATAGAAAGTACTGAAGAAGTTTCTAGGTGACATTAAACAGTTCTATGCTTCAAGCTGGTGCACTGTGTCTGCCTGTAATCCCAGCTACTCAGGAGGCTGAGGCAGAAGGATCACAAGTTTGAGGTTAGCCTGGGCCACTTATTGAGACCATGTCTCAAATTAAAATTTAAAAAGGTCCAGGAATTGCAGCTAATTGGTAGAGTGTACCTGGTATATGTAGTTTGCACAAGGTCTTGGAGTCAATCTCCAGTACCACAAACAAAACAAAACAAAAACAGCTCTGTACCTCAAGGAAGTCAAGTGAAACAGCACTGAAAGCAGTGAGAGCAGACTATTGTACTGTGTTCCCACTTAGACAGTTAGTGACCTCTAGTGACAGCTTTGGTAAAGCAGTAGATAGAAGATTACCAAGAGTTTGGACAAGGACCTCAGTCTGTAAATTCTTGGATTATAAAGCAAACAACTAGAAGGTGCTTCGAGATGAGATATTTTCAGGATTAGGAGTTTTATGCATGTTGCAAGGTGAGAGAGACCAAAAGTGTTTGAAGACTGTCAGAGGTGAAGATAGAGGGAGCAAGATCCGGGAAAGAGCCAAGTGGAACGTGGTAAAGTGGGACAGAAATAAACAATACCCTTTCTTCTACCCATTCTTCTTGAAAGGGAGAGAGGATAGATAAAACAAGGGAAATAAAACCCATAAACCCCATCCCTCAGTCTGTGTGTTAAGTCTTTACTCTTTGTAAACTCTTTGAATGAATTTTTTTTTTTTTTAATGAACAATTGAAAGCAGTAAACCCATACAAGGAGGGCTTTTGTGGCACAAGGGTGTAAAAACTAGCTCTCAGCTTATTAAGTCATGGAAAAGTTAACGTAGAACCCCTCATCCAGTACAGTAAAGGGTGTTAGTGTTCACATTTGTATTCTGTTTTATGAAATGAAGTTAATTAATTAAATACAATTCGTCGCATATGTTTAAATCTGTGTAATTTATTATGTATTATGTACCATACTAGTGTAATATAGAAAAAGACCCTTATAGAGCTGAAAACCAATCTGTACTTAGCCCTTTCTCCTTTAGAAATTTCCACAATTGTTTGTTTTACTTTATTAACTATTACATTTATATATTTGCTTGTTTTTTGTGGCATCTGATCAGCTTTAATAATTCCTTTGCAGGAAACGGTTGGAAAGTTTTTCCAAACAGACATTGCAGAAAATGCTTTGGTAGGTGGCTTTTTAACACTGTTGGTTTCTGATCTCCTGGTTTGGTTTTCAGTTCTCTATTTTCTTTACAATGAAAATACTTTCTTTATTTCCCCCTGATTATACATATAACACACACGAAGAAAAATTATACAGTTCAGGAAATATAAAGGAGAAAGGAAAAACTACCCCAGTCCTGCCACCCAGAGACAACCACTATTGAAGTTTGATTTTACCTTTGCAGACATAACTATCCCCTCTCCTAATTTTATATCAATAATATTACGCTAACATCCTATTTTTTACAGAATGTCATTCCTTTCTGAATATTGTGAATATTCAGTGAATATTGTGTGTATATCTTTTTAAGTGGTTACATGATACTCCAAATGTTTATTTAGCTAAATTTCTATTGAAAGACATTTTATTTATACTCTTGAGTACTCAACACTGCAATGAATATCCTTATGTGAAGCAACTGTGTGTGCTTGATTTATTTTTCTACCTGGGATAACGTTCTTGATAGTGAAATTTGTGGGTTCACTGGTGTCAAGATTTCAGTATACATCTCTTGGCTGCCCTGAGAAAGATTGAATGAGGGTACTGTGTGAAAGTACTTTACTTTCCTTCTCTTTGACATCACTGGACCAGTCCTTTTTCTTTTTTAATTTGTTTACTAGTTCAGCCAAATAGCTATCAGTGTCTTATGGCTACTGATACTTGGGTATCAGTATTTCTTGTTAGTTTTGTAAATAGTTTTGTGACATGTATGTACCTTGTCCATTGACTTTAGTTTTCACCCATTCTTATGCTATATTGCTTTTAAGAGCTTGTTTTTTAGGGATATCCTTTATGTGTATTGTAAATATATTGCCCAGTTTGTGTGTTTACATTTTTAAATTACTTTTCAGAGCATTTAGCTTGTCATCAGATAAATCAGTCTTTTAATTTATAGTTTCTAGTATTTGAGTGATGTTTACTTAGGCTTTATTTTTTTCTTAATCTGAGAGTATAAGTGTTCTTCCATATTTTTATCTAGTACTTTATGGCTTTAGTTATTCCACTGAAACATTCAGCTTTCTGAGATTTGTTTTGTTGTAAGGTGGATATCACAGCTTACCAGTTTTTCTGGTTGAGCTTAAGTGTCATTTAAGAAAGTTCTTTTAAGTACCTCTTTGTACCACCTTTTGTTATTGTTTGAATAGAAACTGCCAAATAAAAATAATATTGATTTAAATTTAACAGTGCTTGTGTTAATAATGGAGACCGTATAAATATGCTTTTTATCTTTTATTTTTTATCATTAGAAAAATTCCCTAGAAACAGAAATTCCTACTGTCAGTGTTTTAGCTGATGAAGAATTCCTTCCCTTTCAAGAAAATACATTTGATCTGGTGGTTAGCAGTTTAAGGTTGGTAATCTAATTGTATTTTTAAAAAATGTTATAAATACATAATTTATGCTATAAAGTTTCTTTTTTTTGGTACCGGGGATCGAACTTGGGTCTTGCACTTGCGCAACAGGTGGCGAAACCACTGACCTAAATCCCCAGCCTGCTATAAAGTTTTTTGAGGTAAAGAAAATAGATACCAGAATAAATTCTTAATAACTTTTTTTAAAAAGTCATGGAACAGTTATTTTATAACTGGGTTTCTCTGGGAAAGAATTACAGGTCCAGGGCTTTCTTGTGGAGATAATATTACTTTTTATCCCCAACATTCTAAAGCTTATCTGCAATAGAAGGGATTTTCTTCCCAATATAACTCAGTATTTTGGAATTGATATTGATAGAGGCAGGACTTGAGAGTATCCTGGCTCTAGTATTCAAGTGTTAGAGCAGTCTTAGCATAAAGTCATTTGGTAAATAGGGGAAACCTAGTATTTCTTTCAACTTTTAATTCTTCTACATAGAAATATAGTCCTCAAGTTACTTCTTTCCCTTTGTGTTTTCTACCATGTCCCTTTACATTTATTACATGAACATGTACTGTAAATATTTATTGAGTAGATTATAATATGTGAAGCGCTGAGCTACATGCTTTGAGGGAATACAAACATGATTTCAGACAAGGATTCTGTCCTCAAAGAACTGAATCTAATGGAAAAAATAAAATATTCTCTGTGGCATCTTATTTTTCCTCTCTATTAGATGATTTTCTTTTAAAGATTTGTTGTGCTCCTCACATCCAGTTCATCCTTTTTGATAGCTGTGTTTCAGGTGAACAGCATCAGAGTCTGTCCTGGACTTTGTCAGTTTAGCACTGAAAGTCTTATGTTTCCCACAACTCTTCCAGGCAAACTGGGAGAGTTAGTCACCCTTGCTGTTTTCTTTAGTAAGCTTGTGATTTTTTCCTTGTTTTTGTATAAATGCTGAACAAATTTTTAAAAGTACTCTTGTTTCATTATGAAATGAAACATAGCCAGAGTCTTGGTCTAAAGGAAAGAGCCCAGGGCAGAGTGTTAGAATATAGGTTTCAACTTCAGGTTATCTGCTTACTATTTGCAAATAACTAATTCTGTTGCTTTCAGTTTCCTTATACGTGTGATGGAGGATCTCCTTAGTTTCTAATCCTAATAATTTTTGGAAAGCATTATGATGGATAGATATGAGCTTAATGCAGTATGGTTTAAAATGAATATTTAATTCTGTCCTTGAAATCAGCAGAAGAGGATACCAACTCTTATCAGGAAAGAATGGCTGAGAGAGACTGAGAATATGGTTCTTGCCTTCATGCATGACCATAATCAGGGGAAAAGTAAATAGAGTCAGTGGAAATTCAAGAAGTTTCTTAATAAGTATAGAGAACTCTGGCTTTTATTTTTCTCATCTTTAAAAATGTTGGATATACTATACACCTATCAGAATGGCCAAAATCGAGAGCACTGACAACAACAAATGCTGGCAAGGATGTGGAACAACAGGAACGCTCATTCATTGCTGGTTGAAATGCAAAATGGTATAGGCACTTTGGAAGACAACTTGGTGATTTCCTACAAATGTAAAAATACTTTTACCATATGACTCAAAAATCATGCTCTAAAATATTTACTCAAAGAAATGAAAACTGAAAAAAAAGAAATGAAAACTGATATCTACACAAAACTTGCATACAATGCCTATAGTTGTTCTATTAGTAATTAACCAAAACTTGGAAGCAAGTAAGATGTCCTTCAGTAGGTGAATGGCTAAAGTGTTATATACCCAGACAGTGAATATTTGTGCATTAAGAAGCTGCCAGGCCTTGAAAAGACAAGACATTCAGGAAACTGAAATACAAATTACTAAGTGAAAGAAGCTAATCTAAAAAGGCTACACACTGTATGATTCCAAATGTAAATAACATTCTGGAAAAGGCAGAACTGTGGAGACATTAAAAATGATCAGTGGTTGCCAGAGATTATTGGGGAGGGAGAAATAAATAGGCAGAGGCCAGATTTTTAGAGCACTGAATGTGTTCTGTATCACGCTCTTGATAGTGATACATGTCATACATTTGTCTGCACCTATAGAATGTATAACACCAAGAATGAACCCTAATATAAACTATGGATATTGGGTGATAATGGTGTGTGATGTATGAGTATAGGTTCATCAGTTATAACAAATATGCCATTCTGGTGAGGAATGTTGGTAATGGAGGCTGTGCATATGTAAGGATGGAGGTATATGGAAAAGTCTCTGTATCTACCTCTCCATTTTGCTGTTAACCCAAAACTACTACACACATAAATCTTAAAAACAAAATTCACTAAGTTAAGCTTTTGATGAATGATACCATTTACCTTTGGATAATTTTATGTCTGCTGATGATCTTTTTTTTTCGTAGGAAAATAGTACTTTAGAATACTATGTTTTTCTGGCTTAATTGTTTGTTGTTTTTTTTTGGTACCGGTGATTGAACTCAGGTCCTTGCGCTTGCGCAGCAGGCGGCAAAACCACTGAGCTAAATTCCCGGCCCTCTGGCTTAATTGTGTAATTGAACTTCTTTGAACGAGTCATCAAGTACTTATTTTAGCACTTTCTTTCAGATAAGTTCTCAGAGTACCACTGTTTGGATGAAATGCCAAGTATGGGTGACTTTAAGTGAAGAAGAATAATTACATTGGGTGTTTTAGTTAAGCAGAATGTTGTACTGACATGGGGCAATTTTGTAGTGTGACAGAAGGAATGTTTATTTCAGAATTGTGAAGTTGGTGAATTTTGACATGTAATTTCAGAGTTTTAGATTAATACCTTTTGTGGCTTATTATATGTGATAATTATATTAATTGAGCTAAAACAAATACTGTGTTTCTGTATTTTAGTTTGCACTGGGTTAATGACCTTCCTAGAGCACTAGAACAGGTGAGAAAAATTATATTCATTCTATTCTATATTTTATTCATTAATAGCAATGTATAGATGTTTCTGTTTTCACAGACTTTACTCATAGGTCTGACAGTTGGAGAATGGAATCAAATCAAGTACATATCTTCTGTGGGCTAGCTACACTTGGTGGCTTTGGTATACAAATTTGTATATTAGGTGACTGAGAATTTTAACATCTGTTGTGGAGATAAGTTTTGAATATTTATGAAAAGCTTAGTAACTACTCACAATAATATGGGTGTTATAAAGACATTTTCTGTGTGGGATTCCTTCTTTTACTTAACTGCCTATAAACTTTTTGTGGATAAGAATCTATTTATATTTGTATCTTTCCTGTGCCTTATACTTAGAGGGTACCATTCTGTACTTGTTCATTGATACTCATCAATGAATCAGAAAGGGGTAAGTAAAAAGCTCGTGTTCAAGGGAAGGAAAGAGATCACTGTGACTTAGAGTTGCTTAGGAAAGCTTTCAGAGGAAGGATTTACAGTACTTGAGCAGAGCTTTAGAGGGTAGATGAGATTTGGATGCAGGATGCACAGCATTCCAGGAATGCCCAATCACAGCATGGGTGGGGAGGTACAAGAGCCTCAGCCAAAGGTGAGATCAAAAGAAAACCTGTTAGGAGAGTTACTAGCATGCTGGGAGATGAGGTGTATTAGGACCGCATACAGGAGGACTTGGGTGCTAGGTTCAGGTCTTTGGAGTTTATTCATTATGCAATTCAGAGCTGCTGGAGAACTTGAAGAGAGAAGTGATGTGACTGAAAGGCTTGTTGTCAGGATAGCTAGGAAAATACCATTTCCTGGTATTGTAAAATAGAGCTGTGTTCTATTTTATGGGTGGATTAAATAACCCTGCAAGATAATCTTCATTTTGTTTCTCAGAAAACTGATGGTGGAGAAGTTGGTTAAGTTTAAGGGAAATTGTTTCAGTAGTCCAGGTTTAAAAAAACTCAATCTAGGTGGCAATGGTAGGAGTTAAAAGGATTGGAGAGGTTTCTAGGATTCTGCAAAGGATTAATGAACAATATGCTGGCTTCTTAACTGTAAAGATCAAAGGGAGAATCAAAACTCACCTTAATGTTTTAAATCAGGATGCCTGAGGGAATGATCAGTAAAAGTAGGGAGAAAATAGTAACGATTAGATAGGTAATAGAAAATGAGAATTAACCAAAGTAGAGCAATTGCAAAAAGAAGTTGGTTTGATAGTAAGTGTTTTGTTTGTGTGGATATAGGATAATGAGGTGCCAAGAAACAAATGTCCATGAAAATAGCAGTTGAAGGTGAGTGTAGAATTCTATGAAGATGTCCAGGCTGAAGATAGAGATTGGAAAGCCATCCTTGTGAAATTATAGTTTGTAAGCCCTGTGAGATGGAGAGAGACCAAAGAGACCTGAGGATTAAATCTTAGGTAGAGTGTGGTAGTAGAGGAAGTAACATTAAAGAAGCATAATGGAAGAAACCAAAAATTTTGTTTTGTTTTGCTTATGTAGTGCTTTCTAATTGCTTTACCGTTATTTGAGTTCTGGTTAACTTCAGAATTCTACTCTTGTCCTTGTTGTTGAAAATAGTCTAAACTAATTACATATCTTAGCACTAATCTGTAGCCTGCAGGCCACTTTTCTTCCTTTTTTTATTAATGTTATAACAACAAATATTTTAAGAAGGAAGTTTGATTACTTATATACATTAACTGTATTTTTCATATATGGCCCAAGATAATTCCTCTTCATTCATGTGCCTCAAGCAAGTCAAAAGATGAACATGCCTGGAAGAGAATCACTGAGCAAACATTTGTGATTGTGTAATTCAGTCTGGCCAGTAATTTGGTGTTTATGTTTTAAAGCTAAAAAAACCTTCTCTTTAAAGAAAACTAATCTGTTAAGTGTTAATGGATTAATGTTGTGAATATGATAATTTTTCTATAAATTAGTTTCTGCGTAATAGGCTAACCCAATTTAGTAGCTTGACACACTGTTTATTTGGCTCACTATCTTGTAAGCTAGCAATTTAGGCTGGATTTAGTTAGGAAATTCTTCTGGATTTGGCTTGGCTTACTCAAGGGTCTATAATCAGCTGCCAGATAGGGAGCTGGTTGGTTAGGTTGGCCTCACCTGGGACAGCTGTTTGATCTCTGCTCCACACATCTCTCATCCTCCACCTGGTGAGCTCAGACATGTTCACAACCTGGTGGCTGGGCAGTGCTCCAGGAGAGCAGGTGGAAGCATCCAAGGCCACTTGAGAACTAGACTTGAAGCTGACATGGTATCAGTTCTACCACATTCTTTTGTCCAAATTAAGTCAAGAGACCAGGCCATATTCAAAAAGAGGGGACATAACTCCATTTCTTGATGGGAGTTTTTAACATACTGACATTTGAGTAGATGCAGACACAGGGAAGATGGTGATTCTGCAGTCTATCCCACTTAAATTTTTTTCATTCAGCATTTTTCTGAATATAAAAGTTGTACCTATTCTAAAATTTGAATACATGGACCATAGTCTTATAGATGTTAATATTATTACAAAATATGTATCTATAACTGTATCATACAGCAGTGACTTAGATTTCTGGTCATGTTAGATGTGATTTATTTATTAAGTTATCTCATTATTGATTTGGCAAAATAGTCATAAAATATTGATTTAAACACTGTTCTTTTCACATTTTTAAATATAAAATTTTGAATAGTTTTGTTTTATTTATTACAGATTCATTATGTTTTAAAACCAGATGGAGTATTTGTTGGTGCAATGTTTGGAGGCGACACACTGTATGAACTTCGGTGTTCATTACAGTTAGCAGAAACGGAAAGAGAAGGAGGATTTTCTCCACACATTTCTCCTTTTACTGCTGTCAGTGACCTAGGACATCTACTTGGGAGAGCTGGCTTTAATACACTGACTGTGGTAACTATCAAGACAATCAAGTAATCCATTAATTGCACAGTTCAGAAACATCTTTTCATTTTAAAGAGAATGCATGGTCCTGCCTTTCTCTTTCCCTGTCCTCCTCTAACACCTTCCAGGAGTAGGCTTCCCAGAGGGAGTCATTTAGAGAGATAATAATTGCCCTTTTCTACCTCTCTGTAATAGCAGAGTCATTCTAAAGGGCTTGTTAGTCTCTTCAGTGGTGACTGACTAGACTTAACTATGATTTTCCACACCCCTTAGTCCTAGAAACATCTCTAAACCTAATTAAAAGAAGTTGGAGTTTTTTTGATAAAGAAAGCTGCTTGTTGTATAATTAGAGATGCTAGGCTTAAAATTAAAATAGCTATTTCAGATGATTTAGTGTATGTTTCAAAAAATTAACCAACTGAAAAATAGATTGTCATACCTTTCTTTTCTTGATAGATAGCAAGGACTGTAAACCAGCAGAACCCCTAATGTTAAAAGAGGCCCCCAGGAAAGGAAAGAAACAATTGGCTGGAAGACCAGGCTAGAAATTGAAGACAATCCTACAAGTTTCTAACCTGTGTCTAGGGTTGACCTTTTATAAACTTCTAAATGGCTTGAGACAGGAAAAACACTTTTCTGAGATATTGAATGGCTGAAAGTCACAAAATACTTTATATGAGTATTCTGCTTTGTAAAGAAAACTAACATTTTCTATATAGGCCATTGTAAATTAAAGAATTTCTTTTTAGTATGTTTTTAATTATGTGACTAATACACAAATATATTTTGGTTATAAATGTTAAACTATTCAGATAAAGTGAAAGCCTATTGTTCCTCCTTAATCCCTAAAATCTTAGCTCTCTTTTGGAGGCAGCATTTCTCAAAATTTTAGTCTTAGAATCCCTCTAGTCACTTAAAAATTATTGAGGACCTTAAAGGACTTTTGTTTATTATTGGACTTAAATATTAGAAATTTAACTCAATTTGTTTTAGTATTCATTAATTCATTTAAAACTAACAGTATTTACCATTTATTTATTAAGGTAATCTATTTTTTAAGAAAAGGAACTATATTGTCCAAAAGTAAAAATTGAGAGAACATCATCATATCACATTTTTACAAATTTCTTCAATGTATACCTTAATGAAAGAGGAGTAGATTCTTGTATCTGTTTCTGCATTCAGATCTATTGTCGTATATATACTATGTCATGTAGCTTCTGAAAAACTATTCTCTATGAAGTAAGAGGTAAAAAAGAGAAATAACATCTTAATATCATGGAAATAATTTTGACTTCATGGACCTCCAAAAGGGTCCTGGGGATCCCAAGACTTAACAACCATACTTCAAGAACTGCTGTACTAGAAGTAGCTATTATGACTGGTTTGGTGTATACTGTTCTAAACTTTTGAACAAATAACTACTTTACTATCTATAAGGCCGATCAGACAATATGGTGTGTTTAAATAAAATTTTATTACAATAAGACACATTGCCATTAATCCCCCTTAAAATCCTCCCCCTTACTTTGAACACACTTATCTCATAGCTTTTAGCACTTTCTGAAGTAGTTCTAGAAGTCTTTTTTCATGAGTGTCTTTATGAAGTGTGTTAAAAAATTATGGTGAATGCTATTGGCATGTGCCATGCAACAAAAAAGGCAGGCTTGTAGAAACATTATGGTGTGGCCTCATCCACCTTATTCACTGGATCTGGCACATAGCAATTGCTGGTTATTCCCCAAAGTCAAAATGACCACGAAAGATAAACATATGATTATACCTTTTTTTTTTAAACTATTTCCCTCTAAATAACATTTACATTTGTTCCAGTTGTTTGCCAATATACTTCTATTCCATGTCATTTATTTATTCAGTCTGGCAACAAATTGAGAGATGAGCACTTCCGATGTGGTAGTCACTGTCCTAAGTACTTTGGGTATAATAATGAGCAAAATAGGCAGAAATTCCTACCCTATATTCTTTTTTTTTTTTCTTTATCCAGTTTCCAGTTGATGGCACTTGGGCTGTTTCCAAGCTTTAGCTATTACAAACTTTGTCGCTATAAACATGGGTGCACATATATCACTGTGGTATGATTCTTTTA